ATGGCGACGGACCGCGTGGGGACCTCGGCATCCCCACACGACCTCACCGCGCGGGCCGCGGCAGGTCGGGCCCCGTTGTGCCACCTGCAGCCCGGACGCTGGAAGAGGGAACAGCTCGGGTTCGGAAGGGTCTCGTTGCTCCTTGGTCGGCGGCGAGCGAGGTGACGCATTGAGACGTGACCCAGAGGAGGAAAAGGTACCCATACTGCTACCTTGGCCTCGTTTTCCTCTTTGGGGGGGGCCTTCTCGGAGGCCCTCGTCGCCACCGCGTGGTTCGCCTCAAAGTCCTGGTCGGAACGCACACCGGGAGAGGTCCGGGGAGTAGCGGTATCGGTACATGTTGTTTGCCCCAGATGTTCATTGGTCGGCGGCGAGCGAGGGGGCGAAGTGAGAAGTGGCGGGTCTTCTCGGAAGGCTCGGAAGTCACCCTGCCTTGTGGGAAGTTTTCTAAGCCTCCCCGAAGACACAACCTTCCAGAACCCGCGAGCGCTTCTGAGAAGCCCCGCCGCCTACTGAGAAGGCCTTATCCTTCTCACTTCCCCCCCCCCGCTCGCCGCCGACTTGGGTCCTCCCATGGCTGCTCCTGTAGCCCTCCTCGTGCATCCTGGGTCTGCTCGTGCCCACGAGGGACGTCGTTTCTGATTTGGTGTTCCTGATGGCGGCAGGCCGACTGTAGAGGCCCCACTGGGGACCGGCGTGGGCCCCCTCGTTGTGTATTCTTTATCATATCATGTGTGGTAGCCTCGTTGAACATGTTCTAGAGCTCCCTCTCTCTCTTTCCATGACCCTTCTCTCTCTCTCTCTTTCTTTGTTCTCTCTGTCTCTCTTTTTCCATGGCACCGCTCGGACGTGTGCATGTTTTCTCGGTATGGGCCATCGAGGAGCATCCTGGACCATCTTGCGAAAACAACGCGCACGAAGCCGTACAACGCACGGGAAAGTGACGCCCGAGCGATGGCGAGTCTATCTCTCTCTCTCTCTCTCTCTCTCAAATGCTACTCTGTATGGCGCTGTGTTTTGCACTCTGCAATGCTGCAAAAAGTTGTACGGGGCCTTCTGTCGCCAAGAGTGTCGGTCCCCTGGCGGCGTCGCGCGTTGCGCGGAGGCCTTGCATAACCAGGTCGGGAGGGGGGGGGCCCTGACGGATGGGGCTGTGCTGTCCTCAAGCAGGAGGCCTCTTCCGTACGTCACCACCCACCGCACCACCCCGACCCAATCCGAAGGCCCCATTTTGCCCTCCGTTCCCAGGGGAAGGGGCCTCGGAGACTACTGAGCAAGCACATGCGGAACCCGTACCACCCCCCAACCCGATACTTGGGCTTTCGGGGTAGGTTGGGGGCATGCCCCTCTACAAGAGGAGTATTCAGACGTATTTGAAGCACATAGGATTGGGACGATTGTTCCATTTTGTTTGTGTCTACGTTTTTGGTGTTTTGGCTATCTTACAGCGTTCTCCCAGAATCCGCCTTGTAGGAGGACACTCCCGATCTATGGTCAGGCTCAGGTGGTCTGGCAGGCAGTCAGCACGCGGTCACCGAGGACGGAGGTTCGACGTCCTGGGATCGGGGTTCCTTCTTGGTGGCGGTCTTCTTTCTGCCGTGCCGGAGCGCCCTCGCGGCCACGGCTGGATCCGCCTCGAGATGCTGGTCAGAACGCGCCCCGGGAGGGGTCCAGGGACAGAGGTGTCTGTGGTTTGTTTCTAACGTTTTCGGGTGCTCTCGGCCGTTTTCCAGCCTTGCGAGGTTTTGGGATCGCGGTTCGCTTGCTGGAGGTGTTTTTCCAGCCATCCCCTGTGGTGTCGGGTCCTCGCTGGGAGGAGACGGCGCCCCGCGTCATTTCTTCCTCCGTCCTCCCGCTCCTCCCTCCTCCCACCCCTTCCTCTACCTTCTGCATGTCCCTCTCATGATATTCCTCATCATCACCATCATCACCATCATCAGCATCATCATCACCATCACCATCACCATTATCACCATCATCACGTCAACGCGTCATCAGCATCACCATCCCGATCGTAATCAGAGTCGTCATCAGCATCGTCATCATCGCCAGCTTCATTACCACCACCATTCTCTTCATGGCCATCACCATCGGTCACAACTCATCACCACCATCACCATCGCCATCACCATCGCCATCACCATCACCATCACCATCACCATCACCATCACCATCACCATCATCATCATCATCATCATCATCATCATCATCATCATCATCATCATCATCACCATCACCATCATCATCATCATCATCATCATCATCATCATCATCATCATCATCATCATCATCATCACCATCACCATCATCATCATCATCACGTCTTCATCGTCATCACCGTCATCCTCGTCATCTTTCGCACAACCGTCACACGTCTCGTGGACCCTTGGGGAGCTCCACCGAAGGCCCCATTGGCAGGGCTCGCATGGCGCGGCGCCTCCTGTTTCGGCCCCCCCTCACACGCGTCGTGAGTCATGTGGAGTTGAAGGCCCCAGTGGCCGTGTTTCCATGGCGCCGCCCCGCTCATTTCGAAACATCCTGTCACAAGTCTCGTGGCTCCATGAGGAGCTCCACCGAAGGTCCCAGTGGCAGGGTTCGCATGGCGCCACCTCTCCAATTTCGCCCCCCCCTCACACGCGTCGTGGCCCCATGGGGAGCTCCACCGAAGGCTCCAGTGGCACTGTTTTCATAGGATTCCACCGAAGGCCCCATCAGTGTGATTCGCATGACGCCGTCCCGGCCCATTTCGGTGCACCCCTCAAACATTTCGCAGTCCCATAGGCAGTTCCACAGAAGGTCCCATTGGCAGGGTGGCCTATTTCGGGAAATCCCGTGAACGTTTCGTGGCCTAGCAGAGAATTCCACAGACGGCCCCAGTGGCAGCGTTCGCAGGATGCCGCCCCATCAACTTCGGCACACCCCTCACAGGTTTCGTGGCTCCATAGGCAGCTCCGCCGAAGGTCCCAGTGGCAGGATCCGCATTTCGCCGCCCCGCCCATGCCGGCACACTCCTCATACGTTTCGTGGCCCCACTGAGAATTCCACCGAAGGCCCGAGTGGCAGGGTTCGCATGCCCCGTCCCAGCTCATTTCGGTGCACCCCTCGTTTCGCGGCCCCTCTCACGGCTCCCCATTTCGTCGTCCCACCGTCGTTGCGGTATTCGCTTTTGAATATGTTTGGACCCTCCGCCAGGCTAATTGTTATCGTCCTTGGGCGCCCCCGAGGCCACGGCTAGTTCTGCCTCGAGATTGTGGCCATAGCGTGCCTAAAAAAGGGTCCAGGGATTGATGTCACGGTGATTCTAACGTTGTGGAGGACGATCAATGGAGGGGAAGCATGTTGCCACATGGTTGCCAGATGTTAAAAAATGGATCAAACATGTCTTACACGTGTAAAAAAACACGTTAGAAACATGTTTAGAACATGGTTCAATGATTTTAAACACATGTTTGATTCAATACCAGGATTGCTAGGGTGCCCATTGCCATGGCATCCACAATTCTAACGGTTTCGTTGCGTCTGGGCAGCTTTCTAGCCTCAGGATGCCTTCCAGCAGCTGCGCCTCGCCGAGGGGCGTGGGGGGTGAACGCATCGACCCCCAGTCGCCAAGTCGTGCGGTGTCGCTCTTAGGGGGCCTGCCGCGAACTTGGGGGCGACGTATCGTTCCAGGTACTCGAGCATTTTGCCCTCGGCGCAGTGAACGGATGAAAGGGGAGGCGGGGGGGGGGTGAGGGGGAGGAGGAGGGAGGGAGGAATGAATGAGGAGGAAAGATGCGGGGGGGTTATGATGAGGATCGACGTAGTTGGGCAGATTCATGTGGTCCACGGACACGCGAGCAACCAGTGCGGTGACAGAAAGTGCAGTTACGAGTCTTTCTGTGCGGGTTGGGTCTATCAATGTCGGCTTACGCGCGCAAGTTTTGTATGTGTGTGTATGTGCGTGTTTTTGTCATCCCCCCCTCTCCCTCTCCTCCTCCTCCTCCTCCTCCTCCTCCTCATCCTCCTTTTCCTCCTCCGCCGCTTCCTCCTCCTCCTCCTCCTCCTCCTCCTCCTCCTTCTCCTCCTCCTCTCTGTCGTCGGTCGCTGTCCGTTTCAATTCAGGGACGCAGTTGATTGGACTGAGCAGAGGGCTATCGTGCACTTGGTGACTTTGCGCGATCGCCCCCGCCCTCGCGCCCCTCCTCTCTCTCCCTCATTTAAAACGTGCAGCTACGAGTTGGTAGTTCGTCAGAAAAGTGCCACCAGGCGTAAGCAGTGTACGCCTGGTGACGCATTGCATGGTGCTACGCGGTGTTGCTGAATAGTTCACAGTACAGTATTCAGCGTCATCGCGTAGCATTTGAGCATAATTGTCGTTCTCATCGTTTGATGTGTTTGAGGTTCAAGCCTAGAAACGCAGACGATGTCTGATCAGCGCTCACCGCAGGCCGCCTGACAGTTTCCGAACAACATTGGAGCCCTGATTGTTGCCGAATTATGCAGTGGTTGTCAAGGTTGGACCCAAACGCTGTTTTGCTGGACTGTTGTTGTGTTGTGCTTTTCGTTTTGGCAGGGAAGTACAGGACAACAGGTCGAGCAACACGAAACACAATCGAACACAGCACGAACACGACGTTGAGGTCCAGGCGTGGTGGTTGCCCAGGGCAGGGAATGGATTATATGCATACTGCTATCGCCCACTGCGCCTGGGCTTCGTGGGGGCCTCCGAGCTGCCCCTCTCGAGCCGCTCTCGCCGTGCGGCTCCCAACTTACCTAGTCCTCGGTGCATTTGAACAGCGAGAGCGTACGGGATTGTGGCCCGCATCGGGCAGGCGAGGGTCGATGCGTTGTTGTGTTGTCTTTCTCTCTCCTCCGATTCCCTCCTCCCCCTCCTCCCCCTCCTCCTCCTCCTCCTCCTCCTCCTCCTCCTCCTCCTCCTCCTCCTCCTCCTCCTCCTCCTCCTCCTCTCTTTCCTCCGATTCTTGTGGTTTCATCCGCCCACTCTGCTGCCGGGCTCCCAGGCTGGCGCCGAGATGTCCTACGAGGTCTGGCTCGTCCGCAAGAGCGCGTGTTCATACACGGAGGCGCGTACCTGCTTGACGTTGACATTGCGTTACGCACCATTTTGCTAAATGATGCAATGGCTTTTATATTCAGAGTCTAGACCCCCCCCCTCGATTCCGATTTTGGCCGAGACGGTTGGTTACGTCAAGCAGTGCGTTACGTTTGTAACGCGCGAGTGCCTTTTGCTTCTGGTAGTGTTTCACACGTTTGAGGCGTGCGTTGAAATCAAGTCATGATTGCTCATGGTTGAGTCAGTGAAGGCACTCATATTAATTGCATTCAAGGTTTAGATGTTGGACTGGATGGGATACCGGGGGGAAAGAGGACAATGGGACGAAGACGAGGAGGAAACGCATGATCAACATAGTACGTGCTGAACGTAGTTTCTCACTTGCTTGTGCATGTTTACATAGGTGTGCCAGAGCCGGTCAGCGATGCCATATATGCATACGTAGACTCACCCAACAGTGCTTGCTTGTAGGGGTTTTCTTGCGCCAGGGGTTCGCCTCGTGCCTGGCTTGTGGCTTGTCGTCTTTGTCTCTTGGGCGGTGGCTTCGCTTGGTTTTCGAATGCAAAACACCTGGGTTCAGCCTGCGTGGTCTGGAAGTGCATGAAGAGCAAGACAGCGCGCGGCTGGCGGACGGTTGGTTCGCGAACGCAGTCTTCCTGACGCCCTTCAACATGGCGGCATTGGACTTCGGCCAGCAGAGAGCCTTGAACTTTGCGAGGCGTAGCGGTGCTGCGTCCTTCTGGATCCAGGCCACGGATTGATTCCCGAAGTCGCAGGATTTTGGTAATAATGGGTTGGAGGAGCCTGAGCGAACATGGCTGTCCTACCACGCCTGGAAGACGGGGAATATCCAGTCCGTGCTGCTGGCCTGCATGGAAATGTTTTTTTTCGCACGACGACAAGCAACGAGACCCAGCCCATTGAGTACGGCGTTCAGGTCGGCGCAAAGTAAACGTTGACGGGGTGGGAGCTGACGGACAGAATTCTCGCCATATTGAAAAACAAACAGGCTCCGAGCTGCTCGACATGGATAGGTTGACGCCATTGGAGAAACAGTGCGAGGGTTTTGCCGCCGAATTTGTGTCGTATGGCGCCCGCGACGCATGATATCATTTCGACAAGGAAAGCGCCATGGAGATTATTCGGCACGGTTCCCGCGCATCTTGGATTTCATTTCAACCAGATGTTGCCATGGGCCACGCGACGCACGCCGCGATCCCCGGTCTGTGCGACTTTGGTCCGCCATGGCAGTGTGCAGCTATGAAGGGGTACATCACGATGTCCCGCGTCAGAAAGGCGAATGGATTGCGCGTGGTCTCGGATGATGCCGCAAGCATGACGGATCGTTCTTTTTCGAATGGTTGTGAAGACGAGTCTCTCTTTGCGAATTGCCGGGGAGGTGCTTGCAAGCAGCGAAAGACAGCGAAATCACGTTCAAGGACGAAACTTGGCAGCTCTGTATACACAGAAAGGGCGAGAGAAACCCATGACGGAAGACTTACAGCTTCAAGCGATCGGCAACACAGCTCCGATGTTGTTTCTGACGTAAAGAAGTGGATCGCTCGCCCTAGATATTTGCGACGTCGCATGCGACCTATCCCCGACTGCGTGGAGGACGCGGTCGATGTTGATGCGAAGGAGTTCCAGTCATGTTGATGGTGGTGCCGGTGCGTGAGCGTGCTCCCGAAGTCCACATATTCGAAGACCGCGCGGCAGAATCGCGGGCGAAAGCAAGGCCACGTCTGCCTGCAGTGCGAAGCTCAAGAGATTGGTTGGCAGTGCGCAGGATACCGCCTAAACAAGCCCAAAATGTGCTTTCCCGAAGCCAGGTGGCTCCTGGGGTGACGCCAGGTAACGCGTTGCTTCGACTGCGAAGACGCCGCAGCAGCAGCTTTGCACGCCTTGTGCAAGACGAAGCAGCAAAGGCGGCAACGGCGATGGTCGCATTCTCTGGTGCCGCGACCACTGGCACCCGCAATGCGCGGCCCTAGGTTGCCGGACGCTCGCGGCCTGCGGGAACCCAAAACATACGCATGGCGCAGGGCGCGAATTGCAAAGCACCCTTAAGCACCCCTCTACCAGCTAAAACCAAACACATTCTGCTGACGTCGGCGGCGGCCCAGTCTTTTCTGCGCGCGACACGAACAATAATCCAGACGACAAGGAGGTCGCGAAAGCAGGGAATGCCGAGAAATGAAGCAGGCCCCGAGAAGCCAAGAAGCCCCGAGAAAAAATCCCGAAATAAGCAGCAGGCCCGGTTGTATTCAGAGGTGCTTGGACTTCTGGCATCCGCTTCGCGCGGGGCCGAGTTGCCACGATTGCGAGGCGTGCCCAGGCCCCGAAAACGCGGAGGGGGCGTGGCGCCAATTCATCGTTTCGCAAGTGATTCCCAGCTTCTGAACAGCACCCGGCCATGTCCTTGCATGAAGTGCGCCGAATGTTGCCGCCCGCAGTGCGTGTCGCTCAGGTGCAAGACGCGCGCGGTCTGCCGGACCGCGAACTGCAGGAATCCGACGCAGATGCTCAAGTCATTGCCCGAGGCAAGTTTGTGTTTTGCGAAAGCTGCCGTTTCATGCCTGCGTGATCGCAGGCGCCGATTGTCGCACTTACGGGGGGGGGGCAGCGCCGAAGAAGAGCCACGCAGTTTGCGGGCGAATAGAAGCGCATGCACCTGCGACAATTGTATGACGGAGGAGAAGAGTGCGAAGTCGCTCGCCGCCTCCATGGTCCGCAAATGGAATGTGTCCTTGTTGGTTTTTCCAAAACAAACGCACTGGCGCCCATCGCAGCCCTGGTACGCATGCCTTCGGTACTGCCGCGCGTAGCCCACGTGATATAGGAGCGCAGTGCACCACGTTGGCGCACGTGCGTGCTCAGCAGAGCCGCGGCACGGGCATCGTTGCATACATTCTCGCTGGGTTGATTGCAAAAATCTTGCTGAGCAGATGAGCGATGTTAGCAATGTTGCGCCTCGTGTCTTTGAAGCGGGATGGAATCGAAAGCGTGAGAGGTCCGAGTGCCGTCGCAGGTTGTGCGTTGAGCGCACTTCGCGACGGCATATGACAGTGACAGAGCCCAGGTGGTTGCATGTTCCAGCGCAGCCGGCAGTGTTTTCTTTAGATGTTTTAAAGATATCCCACTGGTTTTCTGACGTTGCATCGAAGTGCACGCTTGCGTCTGATATAAAACGCGCTGCCGTTCTCAGCGTTCCCTTTGTCATTATCAGTCCTTTCCGTGCGCGAGACCGCACGCGCAAGATAGCGCATGACATTCCGTCAATGCACAGGATGTGTGCGTGCGCGCGCATGGTGGTTTAACCACACGCCGAGGAACAACGTATAGCAGGGTCATCCCTTCTTCTGGGAATTGCCAATGTCATCGCAACTATCACATGTACTGCCCCTCGTTACCATATGTCTGGGCACCCCGTTTTCTTTATCCTCATACTCGACTGCCTCTCCTTCTCAAGTCGTTCCTCCTTTAAGCATCTCGTCCCATCATCCCAGAGCTGCCTCCGACCGACCAGTGCTCCTCTCGTTCTCACCCCTTTCACCCCTTTCCTATCATCACAGAGCTTGCCATCATCCCAGAGCTTGCCTCTCACCCCTTTCCTATTCGCATGTGCGTCCCCACCAGTCTTTCTCTCGATCTCATTCCTCCTCCATCCTCCTGTGTAGTAGGAGGGTGAGCTCCTTGCACCAGCTTGACCGCACATGCCTTGCTTCTGAACCCTCAGCAAGCAGCATCGGATCCCAGTCCACGCCGGCAGGATGTGGCTTTAGTACGCGCCGGTTCCATACGAGTTTGTCGCAACGTGCCAGTTCGAGACCAACTGACCGAAGATCAGGAGCTTCGGATGGAGCGTGGGAGCTTGGGAGTAGTTGGTTAGCACAGCGCCAGTGTGTTTTTTGAGATATTGCTCACCATGGGGCAGCGATGCAAAGGATGGCTTTCGCATGCCGTGCAGTCCCTTGTTGCCCCTTCTGACCTCTCATGTCCAGGCGAGTGTATAGAGGTGCTTGAAAGAACGAGGAGGACACGGATTTTGGAGGAAGAGGGCTTTGGAGGAGGACGGAGGATCCGCGCCAGTGGACGTCGGCGATCGCTCAACGTGGAACGGCCCACGAGTTGCTAGATACTGGCGCCGACGCCATCGCGACGTCAGCCTTTTGTGCGGACAGAGTGTCGATGACCTACAGTTAGGTCAGGCATGTCCCCCTACAGGCGGATTTGGGGCGAAAAGTTAAAATAGTCAACTAGTACGAAAACATAGTCAAACATAGTCAAACAATCGTCCCCATGCTATGTTTTAAAACTATGTTTGAATATTCCCCCTGTAGAGGGACAGGTCCGACTTACACCTACTGCCAGGGCAGCGAAACAGGTACCACGTTGGGCTCGGAAGGGGCTCTCTGGTTGCCAAGCCTCTCCTCGAACTCTCCAAATTGGAGAGCCCCATCCGTGGCCGGGGGCCATACGAGGAGCAGCTTTGGCCTGGAGGGCGCTGTTGCCCCCAGGGGGGCCGACAGTGTGCCATGCACCGACAGTGGACGCTGGGCGCTGGACCCCTCCTCTGAACGCTCAGAGGCAGGTGTGCGCGCTCACGCGGCCTTCTGCTGAAAATTGGACGTGCGCGCTAGACGCTTGTGCCGACCCCGATTGTGAACACTCAGAAACATATGTGCGCGCTACACGTCCTTGTGCTGAGTTATGCTGAAAGCGGACGTGCGCGCTGGACGCTCGTGCGTTGGCGATGTGTTTGTGCTGGTATTCTTCCCCCCCCGCTCCGTATCATTGCGTTCCTTATTCAGCGATCCTCATGGCCGCACGATGGCTGTACGCTGCACAGTGCAGACCCATGCCAAGAAACACCCTGCTTGCCTCCAAGGTGCCCTAGGTTTCTTGGGTCTCGATAGTTTTGCGATGGGAAGCGCGTGACGTTCCTACACCAAACAATCCATGGACGTCCTGGGGCCTCAGGGCTGGGTTTCTTGTGGGAGGTTTCCTGTGGTCGGGCCCCTACTGTAAGGGTCTTCCGTTTTGGTCCCCCTCGCCTTTTTCACCCGGCGGTGAACGGGACTGGTCCTAAAATTACCTCCTCGCAGTCGTGGTCGTAGTCGCAGCAGTCGTCGTCGCAGTCGCAGTGGCAGTTGCAGTCGCAGCTGTCGTCGTCGTTTGCTCCCGCTCCACGGCCCTCGCCCGCCCAGATCCCGCCCGCCGCCAAGGTCGGGGGAGGGGAGGAGAGCAGCGTTGTGTGCCCGCGGTGCGCCGGTGTGCGGCCCAGGGCGGTGCTGCTCTGCAGAGGGCGATGCCATTCAGTATCGTTTAACCGATCCCCATCCCTATCCATACCCCCACCATCTCATCCCCCCAGCTGGGGATACACCCTTCGAGATCTGACGGAAGTTGCTCATGTCCCCATCTAGGGGGGTAAGCCTGCCAGTGGGGCCCAGGCCACGCGAGTGGGGATAGGGATCGGTTGAACGATGCTCAGCCATGTTGCATCCGAGCTCTGGGGGCCTCGTCTGTTCCGTCGCGGCCCGATCCTCGTCGAATCCATGTCGGATCCGTGTGGAATCCGCGTCGAATCCGCGTTGAGTCCACTCCCAATTTGCGTCGAGTCCGCAGGGAGCCCGCGTTGGGCACAAGAGAAGACACCAATTTGGGGGACGGGCGAGGTTCCCCGAGGATGCGACGTAAGGCGGCGCCGAGCATAGGGGGAGGCCATGCCGACTTTGCTTAGTATGTCGACCCCTCCAAATCTCGGCGAACAAACAATCACACAGGTATAAGCTCGGAGGTCCGCGTAGATTTCTCGGATTGGCGCCGGAGCCGACTGGCGGCGCCTCGGGCGCCGCCCCTGGCCCGCTCCGCGGGGGGTCGGGGGGTCCTGCGCCGATGCAAGGAATCCGCGCGGACCTTCGGACGTTCATGCTTTTGTCATTATTTGTTTCCTGGGAGTCGGTTAGTAGGTCGACCCTTTCCAAATCAAGGGTGCCCAGGTGTTGCGTGCTTCGCGTCCGATGGGCTCTGCTTGCGCCACCCAAACGTGCTCGTACTGTGTGTGTGTGTGTTCGTCGCACCCCAAAGGCGTCGTTCCAAGAGGGGCGACGTGCGCGCTCATATAAAGCTTGTCGCACACTACAGTACATGCTCGGCAGCGGGCGCTGTCTGGCTGTGCCGCGGGGGCAAAGATATACTGAAGTATAGTACTGCTGCCATATGTGATCTTGTCGGGCGCACCCCTCCCAAGGAGGACCTCCCTGCGTCACGAAGTCAGGTCTCAGCCGGTTGGGGTTTCAGTTAGATCCCAGGGTTCCAGTCCGCCTTTGAATGATGTGGCTTGGACGGGGCCGCATTTGTCTCACAACATGGTTTGTCCCGTGATTTTCCGTTATGATTGATTTAGGAAATCTTCGCCTGGGCCATTTTTCAGCAGTAGTTTTTGTTGTTGCTTCTCCGTTTGCCTTTTGCCGACCCTGACGCCCCAGACATGAAGTCTGACCCCCATTACAGCCAAGACGCTGAAATAAGGACCGCTTTTGTATTCGGAGGGGGCTCGCTGATCCCCAGGTAATTCCGTCGTTGGTCCCACAGTCCTCTTCGTGCACCCGAGCAGTTCTGGTGCCGCAGAGGGGCTTCGCTCCTTATGGCGATCAAACAGCACGCACCCGTTCCCATAGGGGGGATGGAGGGGGCTGTGGGTGCGTGTTGTCGGACGGGGACCCCCGTTCGAAGGGCAGCCTCCCCCTGGGTCCGACCACCCGCACCCATAGCCACAGCTAGCCCCCCCCCCCTCCGACCCGCCTGTGGGTATGTGTGTGTGTGTGTGCGTGTGTGTGCGTGTGTGTGTGTGTGTGTGTGTGCGTGTGTGTGTGTGTGTGCCTGTGTGCCTGTGTGCCTGTGTGCCTGTGTGCCCGTGCGCCGGTGTGCCCGTGTGCCCGTGGTGTTCGTTCGTCGAGATTTAGCGCTCTTTTCATTCAGCGGCCCGACGCCAGCACTGCGAGTGGCAGTCGAGACTCCCAGAGCTCCAGGCCAGCTGGCCAGCCCGGTCCGCCCCGCCCGCCGCCGCCCGCGGCGCCCAGGACGCTCCGGACGCCGTGCCGGGCCTGCCCGCGCCCGCTGCGGCGCACGGGGCCGCCGCGGGGGTGCGGCCCCGGGACGCCGGCGCCCCGGGCTGAGCGGCAGGTCGCGGAGTGCAGGCGCCGGGCATTCTCCTGGCCCCGTGTGCTGCACACTTCAGGAGGAGACGTGCATGTCGTTCCCTTTTGGTGTTGGAGGCGGGCGTGCGTGCTAGATGCTTGCACATGGGCGACGCGTTGATGTTGGTTTTCTTCCCCCCACTCCCTTCTGACGGCGGCGAGCGAAGGGGGGCAGTGGGAAGGAGGAGGCCTTCTCAGAAGGCGGCGGGGCTTCTCAGAAGCCCTCTGGCCATGTGAGACGTTTCCTGTTGTCTTCGGGGAAGGCCTAGAAGACTGCTCAGATAGCTGCAGGACTTCCGAGCCTTCTGAGACGGCCCGCCCCTTCTCACCTTCCCCCCCAGGCTCGCCGCAAAAATGAGTCGCTTTGTTTTCGTGAGGGCAAGACGTGTATCCACATCCACCGCATCTTGGAGCTTGGGGTTCCCTTCCCCAGATACTCGAGGCGCAGTATGGATGGATAAGATTCTGGCCCCTAGGGGCTAGATGTTTAGCCATATCTAGTGAGCCTCGGCCTTGTGGCGCTCCTTCCCAGGAGTCCCAGGGCGCAGTTGATAAGTATGGTCATGAGTCTCGCCCGCATTCGAATCCCTTGGAGAGGAGGGGTGTGACCGGTCGGGGTGTCCAGGCACGTGACGATCTGCACCAGTGCTGTGTGGGAATGCTTCGGGATGGTTTTTTTGTTCCCGGACGGGGCCGGCGCGAATCGTGACGTGACCAGGGGGTGGGGAGGGGGGGGGCGGTGGCCGGCCACAGGCGTCATCGCGAGTCATGGGGGAGAAAAAAAAAAGGCGCGCGGCCCAGGCACACAGCGTGTCCCGATCGGCATGCCGCGAGTGTTTGGCACGCTTCCGCCTCCAGGGGCCCTCGCCGTGCTCCGGGGCCGTCGAAGAGCGATGTGGGATGAGGCAGCCGGCCCGGGGGAGAGGGTCCGGGCGTCCGCGGACCGCGCCCAGAACACGAGCAGAGGCGTACACCTCAGGCGATGCTTAAGAAAACCTAAGCTTTCGTCCAGAGTCTCGATTATTCTTGACTTTTCAATGTAAATCCCAAGATTTTGATAGAAATTCTAGGTTTTATTTAGTTTCTGAGACTATGAATTTCTTAACCCATGATTTCTTAAGCATTTCGCAGGGTGTACTTGTGGTTTTTACCGGAAGGTCACCACTGGGAGGGTCACGATGAGATTTTGGCGTCTGGTCGTGACGCGCCGCGAAGCTGCACGCCGCGTCGGATCCCAGGGAGGGAGTTCACCGCTGTTCCACCCGGATGTCGACCAGGCTCCTGGAGCCAAGGTCGAGGCAGAGCTACGGCGGGGTCGAGGAGGTTCTAGTTCTCTACAGGTCGTCGAGGAGCTACAGTCAGCCCGCATGGTAGGGATGGGCACCCTCCTAAGGTTACCCTTGCATCCTTGCCTCCTCGGTCCATCCTTGGCAACTTTCGTTGGCCGCGCCCCGCTCGAAAAGCTTCGAAACGGCCTTCCAGGGCCCTTGCGTCCTTATCTTATCGTGCATCCTTATGATGATACGGGTCGAGATTAATGTCGAAGAGGAGAAGGTCGAGCAGGTCGAGGAGGGCTTCTTGTGGGGTCGCTTCGTGGGGGGGCTCTGCAGCGTTCGGGGGGGGGGGGCCGCTTGCCGGGGGACCTGGTGCTGCCTCGAAGAAGGGGCGGCCCCCTTGGAGGGGACCCCCCCGCGGCAGTGCTCTAAGGCAGCAGCAGCAGGTCTCGAAAGAAACTCAAACCACCCCAAGCCGACCCAATCCCAGCCAATCCCAACCCCAAGTCAGATCACCGCCCACCAAGCCACCCCAACCCAGCCCGAAGACCCGATTTGCCCCTCCATGTCCAGTGGGGGGGGGGTCGGGGAACATGGAAGCAAGCACATATGAAGCCCACACCCCCACCCAACCGGAAATTCTGGTCTTCGGGTTGGGTTGGGGTGGTCTTTACAGGTAAGCACCTCTGCACTCTAGGCCTCCTAGATGGGGTCCGAGTGGATGGGGTCGGAGGATCGCGCCGCATCGCCGATGCGTCGGCGATGCTGCTGTAGTGAAGCCCGTGTTTCCCCACGCCGACGTCGCCAGTGCATCGCCGGTGCATCGGCGATGCTTTGGCGATGCGGCGCGATCCTCCGACCCCATCTTCTCGGACCCCATCTAAAGGGTCTCTACCTTGGCAGTGCCCCAGGGCAGCAGCAGCAGGCCTTGAAACGGTCAAAGCATTGCACAAACGTGAGTTTTCGGAGCTCTGGGCGGATCTGTTGGATGCTTGGCATCGCTCGGACGTGTGCATTTTTCCTTCGGCGAGGACCATCGAGGAGCATCCTTGGTCATTTGGCGAAAAACCACACGAAACCGAAAAAAACACAGGGAATGGACGTCCGAGCGATGGCCAGGATGTGAATGTAGTTTTATTTGTTTTTGTTGCCGATCCGCGCGGGTCCCCACACCTCCCCCCCGAGAAGTAGATCTTGGCTGTTTTGGGCGTTTGTTTCAAGCATGTGGAGCCTCCCCCATAGGACGCGCTGTTGCAAACAGACGCGTTATGCAGATGTCCTGAGCCAGACCCCCCCCCGCTTCCCCCCCATTCCGCCCAATGTCGAAACGCCGAAGCAGAGAACGTTCGCCATGAGATTTCGGAGTTCTGGGCGGACGATCCCTGGCAGTTTATTGCTCTCTCGAAGGCAGCAGCAGCAGGTCGTCGCCAGGGACACGCCGACCGGAGGCTGACACGCGGCAAGACGCCGCTCTGCGCCGCGGAGGTCGTCGCCGCCGGGCATCGGAGAGAACTATGCACATAACACCGATCCTGGCCATACCGATCTTGGGTCAAGGATCAGTGTCTGGAGTATCGTAAGACTCGAGTGCGCCAGACTTCGGGTTCGCCTCCGCTTTTGGACGAGCCCGCCCTGGATTTTGAGGGTCCAGTTTTCGTGGGATGGTTGCAGCGGGTTGGCCGCGTCAATTTTCAGATTGGGTCTCGTCATGTTCATGATGGCCCCGTCAGGCCAACCCGAGAACCCCGTTCCACCGTCGTTGTCCACACCGTCTTGGTGGTGCAGTGGAGACCCATGCCAAGCAGCACCCTGCTTGCCTCCAGGGTGCCCTGGGTTTCTTGGGTTTCGATGGTTCTGCCATGGAAAGCGTGACGCTCCCACGCCAAACATCCATGGACGTCCTGGGGCCTCAGAGTTGGGTTTCTTGTGGAAGGTTTCAGAGTTGGGTTTCTTGTGGAAGGTTCTTGTGGTTCGCGTCCTGGGGCCCCTAGTGTACCTCTCCCCGAAATAGATGCGCTCATCCGGCCCAGGCCAGGAGGGCGTCTACTCGGCGGCGAAGTCCGAACCCTACCCTCGCCGATCAAGAATTCAGGCCACTCGATGGTCGGCGGGGGCTCGGGCTTGGAATTCGCGGAGCACGTGGCGGCATCCGAACCTTGCCTTCGCCTCCCATCGATTCATCGGCGGCGAGCGAGGGGGGGAAGCGAGAAGCGGAAGGCCTTCTCAGAGGGTTCGGAAGTCCCCTGGCCTTCTGAGCAGGTTTTTGGCCTTCCCCGAATCAGAAACAACTTGTCTGAGTGCGCGAGGGCTCGACATTCGCTGAGCGCGTGGCGGAATTCGAACCCCACCCCCGCCTCCCATCGACTCAGGGGAACCGGTCGTCATCGTCCTCCTCGTGGTTCTCCTCTGTTCGGCGGCGCGCAGAAGAAAACAAAAACAAAAAAAACAAAAAAAAAAAAAAAAAAATCGACTCGGGGGAACCGATGGCTGCTGGGTGTAGGGTTCGGACGTCGCCACCCGCATGCAGAGGGGGCCCATGCCAAGAGACACCCTGCGTGCCGCCAGGCTGCCCCGGGTGTCCTGGGTCTCGATGGAGCCTTGAGTCGGGGGTCAATGCAAACGGGAGTCAGCCAGGGCGCCAGATCCTGCAGGATCCTGCAAAGGCCCCCTCTGGCTGACCCGGGTCAGGGAGCCGCGAGGCGGCCGCGCGTATTGGCTGACCCGGGTTTGCGCAGACCTGCGTTGCAGTTTTTTTTTCCTGCATTGCAGTTTTTGGTTTCCCGCTGACCCGGGTCAGAAGATCCCCGGTGGTTTTTACGATTGAGAGCGTGACGATTCCGCACCAAGAATCAACGGACGCCCTGGTGTCTCAGGGTGAGTTTCTTGTGGAAGGTTTTTCTCGTGGTCGAGTCCCTGCTGTATACGCCGATCCTGGGCAGGGCTCGACCGAAAGGGTGTTCGAGCGATCGCGTTGACCTTTTTCCGTCTGACTTCGATTTGCAGCAGGGGCGGAACGAAGACAGAACGAGGGAGAACGAGAGCAAAACGAAAACGCAGAGCAGTGCCAAGGTCAAGCCCTGATCCTGGGCCCAGGAGTGGGCCTGACCAGGGTCGCGGCATGTGCGGCGTGCGCGCCTCTCGGTGGCGCTCTCTCCCCAGAGAGGAGCTCCGCGCCGCCCGAGGCTGCGGCACGGCAGAAGTGATGCCCTCGGTGCTGCCGCGGGAAGGGCCGGCCGGAGGTGCCGGTGCCGGATGCCGCATGCCCGGGCGAGAGGCAATGCGGGGGGGGGAGGCCCAAATGGGGGTGTGAAGGAAAGACGCCGAGAAGAGGGGTGCCCTCTGGGGGCCCCTTGTTGGAGCCAGCTGGTGCCCAAGAGGAGCCCCGAAGGGCCCCTCTGGGGCCCTCTTCTCCACACACAAGAGCCCCCCCTTTGGGCCCCCCCCCCTCTCCATCACCACCCGCCCGGCATGCCTGCTCGGGGGGCCGCGGTGCGCTGTGTGAGCCTGGCGGCGGCGGCGGCTCCTCCACGCGAGGCCGCGGGGCCCCCCGCCTCGAGTGCCCCGCCGCCTCGCTCTCTGTGTGCGTGGCGCACGCTGCCCTCGGAACCGGGCGTCGTAGAGAACAGCAGATGCCGATGGGCCGATTCTCCACCACCGCTACCACCAGCAGGAGGGGGAGGAGGAGGAGGAGGAGGAGGAGGAGGA